TAGCTTTCATAATATACTTAGCCTTACCATATCAACAGTGGAGACAAGTGGGCAAGTGCTGGTGATAAGTTCTTGAGAGATTCATATTTAGTAGTTGCCTACATGAAACAAAAAAAATGAAGAAAGCAATATAGCATAGTTGTTAATTAGTAAAAATGTCAAGAAGCATCAGGGGAAAGTTTATTGGAAGTGGATATCTAGTTTTTGTGAGTTTGTAGACGTTTAGAAAATTCTTCACATAAAAACAAAATAACAGTAACCAGTGAAGTGCTATAATATTGTGAAGGGATTATGGCAGCAACTTTTCAATGACGTTAAGATGTATTAGCAAGTGCCCTGATTACTATTGATGAGCTGAATTTATATACACTTTCATGTGAAGTTTTTGATTTGTTGACGAGTTTTATATAATTTTATTTGATTTTATATAATTTTTATTATTTACATAGAAATGATTTATTTGGAAGGAATCACAACTTTTAGCACCAAATTATAGAGCTTAGAAAGTCAAGGATTAAGTTGTGCAGAATTCAGAAGTCAGAGACCAAAACTGTAATTTTACCATTAACCAAAACTTATTTCAAAGGCCAAAATCCCGACGCAGACTCTTCTTCACCGACGTAGTGAAGGTGTCAGCACCTTATTTAGTGTGTCGACTCCTTATGCCATTTTCAGGAAATCCATCCCTATAATTATTTATTTGGTGTGGGTCTCATGATCTATTTTAATTATATTTTCTAAAATTCTACAAATATTCATCCAAATTAAGATTTAAAGAGCTTTTGCAGACTGGTAGTAACCCTCTTTTGGGCACTTTAGGAAATCAAAATAAATAATTCATCAATAATAAAAAATTAAAGATTTCAACTTCTTCAAACTGGATTTTGTTTTTCTATAAATTATTATCTTTATCTATTATTTGATATTATTATATTTATAACTGTTTACATTATAGATTGCAAAAATTTAAGATCATGCCATCTGTCAAAAATTTTTTAAATGGATAGAGGAAATTAAGCCATGTCAGATTCGTGATTCTGGGCCTCATGACAAATCAGCTATCATTTTAGCAGAAAATGGGAGATAAAGATGAAATTTTACTCTGTAATTATCTCTTTGAGGCAAAAAGGGACTGTTTGAGCTAAAATATAGGAGACGATTGCAGTTAAAGAGGGGTTTGCTCTGATAAGGGCACAAGTGGCGAAAATCTAGAAGGATATTAGACCAAGTCAATAGGTGAGCTGTCCCACTACCTCAAGAAACCACCTACAACTTTGTAACTGCAGAAAGTGGGGGGTTACTGCCGGCCAAAGGAGAACAAAAAGGAAATTTTGGAAGGGAAAACACACGGCCAACCCTACTCAAACATCTGCAAATTTTCATACTTTTATTTTCTCCGCAAATTGCTTCCAGATTTCAGATTTCATCACAAATCCCGGTAGATTTAGGTTGTTTTTCACCATTCCAGTAGGCAAATTAATTCATGTATTCAGTTCAACAATTTCCTTTTATGTAATGAACTTCAATCTTTCAAGTTTATGCAAGGTATTGTTCTCTTTCTATTTGCAATTAATTTAATGTTTATGATAAGTAGCATTTTATTCAATGATTACTTATGTGGTATTCACACTTCTTTTCAACTTCAAGCATGTTAGTTTAATAACTATTCACGTTAATTTTAATGTTAATTAGGGTACAATCTTTAATTTTGTAGCATTTTAATTTCAAAATCTGCCAATAGATAGCATTTTAATTTAACAATAAACATGTTTAATTTAATTTGGGCATATTTTATTCTTGTAAATTTATTTTAAATTGCAATTTATTTAGTTCAATTAGGATTTATTAATTTTAAGTCACGGTAGTGTTTAAGTCCTTGGATTTGTTCAAGGCAAATTTTGTAACCCATTTTACAGGAAGGTATCCCTTCCTCTTGCAAATTGTCTGTAGGTGCAGATTTCAATTTTAATCCAACGTTATTCCCGCCATCTACAAAGAGGTCGACCGTGAGGAAGGAGAGGGTCGTTGGGAAAGTCCTCCTTTCTTACTTTCAGCAAAGTAAGTGGCACGCCCGCATCTAGATTTCATACGTGCGAGGCCATTAGAGGATTTTTGGGGAAACAATCCTTTTTTGGCATGCCTAGTGGGACATCACTGTGTCTTACTTATAGTTTTCAGATCAGTTGTTCTTTTTTCCAAGAAAAAGTGTAATTATGCCACCAAAAAGAAATGTTGGGAAAGTTGCCCAAACTTTACAAATTGGGCTTGGTGAAGGCAGTCTAGCACACTTAGAAGGAGAGAATGAGCCAATCATTCCCCCACCATTGTCACCAATACTTGGGGAGCACTCTTTTGTCAATCTAACCTTCAACAACGATAGTGAATCTGGAGATGATGTTGCTCAATCTGGTGACTCCTTTATGAAAGCTGTGTTAGAACATATTAGCATAATGAGGCGCACACAGTTGGAATCTGAGGAAAGAGCTTAACAAAGAAGCCAAGAGGTCGCTAGACAATTGGATGAGTCTTTTTAGAATCTGGCTCAGAATTTGACCTAAAGTGTAGCTCAAAGTGTAGCCGACATGCAGCGCTCCAATGAAGAAAGTGCTAGAATTTGGCACGAGCAAAATGCGAAAAATTGGAGAGCTTTCCAAGCTAAAATAGAACGAATGCAGGAGGCTTTTCAACGTGCCAAAATTGAACCTCAGCTACAAGTAGTAGATCTTCAAAGGCAGAATCAGAATATTCTAGCTCCAACACTCAGGGGGTAAGTTAATCTACCACAGCCACCTCCCTAGATTCAGCAAGTAGCAGGCGGACCAGTGCAGCCAGATCCCATTGAGGCTACACCACGTGCAGTAGAACTGGGCAATCACCAGTAGCCCAGATATCTGCCACCTTAGCGCCGACCAAATGGAGGACACCAACAACATAATGCACCTCCACTAAGGGAGCATTTTCAACCTTATGTGCCACCTATGCAACAAAATCTTCAAGGTCTGCCAAGGCAGTACATCAATCGTGATAAGATCATTGATCTAGTGTAGGAGGCTTATGGCTCAGTTTTAAGGCCTCTAGTCAAACCAGTTTATAGAAAACCATATCCAGATTTCATAGACCAAGAGAATCCTTTTCTGAGGGGGTTCAAGGTTCCAGAATTCACTCTATTTTCTAGAGATGGTGGATATTCTATAATTGAACACATAAGCCACTTCACAATTTAGTGTGGCGAGACCTCCGGTGATGATAATCTGAAGTTCAAACTTTTTCCCAGCTATTTAACTAGTACAGCTCTCACCTGGTGTTTGAGTCTGCCACAGAATTCAGTTTATACTTGGAGCAGATGGAGGATCTTTTCCATATCCAGTTTTACCATAGTGAGCCAAAAGTGTCCATGGCAAATTTATCTCATCTGGTGCAGCGACCTGGAGAAACATCTGAGGCCTTCATTTCCAGATTTTGGAAGGCCAAACTTAAGTGCAGTGTTGCCTTGCCAGAACAGGAATTTCTCAAGCTGGCACAAAATGGTCTGGACATTGAGTTAAGGAAAAAGTTTGAGGGAATGGAGTTTCGTGATTTCTTTGAGTTGTCTTACAAGGTGGCTCGTTATAAAAATTTATTGCGAGATGACACACAAAGGAAATTTGCATCTCATGGAACTTATTATGGTGACGCTAACTTTGATCTGGATGTGGCAGAAGTGGTGGTAGACAAGCTAGTTGTTTGCCCAGATTTGATTAAAGTGGTCCAGCAGACTAACAAAACAGTAAAGCGTTATGTCGGTGAGGCTGGAAAACAATACACCTTTAACATCTCAAAGACTAATGAAATTTTTTACCACCTTAAGAAGAGTGGTCTAATTAAGTTGCCACCAGGGCATAAAATCCCAATGGCTAGCAAAATTGGAAATAGAGAATATTGCAAATATTATAAGTCTTGGAAACATTCTACTAATGATTGCATTATTTTTTGGAATGTTTTTCAAGACAAAATTGACAAGGGAATTTTGTGTTTTCCAGATAAAGCCAAAGAAACCATGGAGTTGATGCAGATCCATTCCCTAGCATGTCTGTTGGGGTGAATGCAGCAGATCTCAGGAGTATTGATAGAGACAAAACTCAGCCATACTCTAGGCACAGACTTGCAGCTGATGATTTGAGGTGGGTCATTGAGGAGGCAAGGGCCTGTAGAAATCAGGTCAGATTAGGCTCATACCAAAGGAAAAAACCCAAGGGGCACAACCCAACTCAACAAAAAAATAATGCAAATCAGGGAATCGCGATATTTGGATACGCGGAAAAGCCCAGAATGGTGAAACCATCACTTAGATCTCCAAGAAAATGGTGGGAACATGTGGTTCATCCAAAATTCCCTAAGGTCCAGAATCCAAGGACATTGAGGAGGCACTTACAATATAAAAGGGCAGTAGAAAGATAGTGACAGCAGATTGCAAACTCAGGGGGCATGGCAGATCAGACTAAGTCGCTCCCAGCAAGAAGAAAATCAATGTCGGTCCGTAAAGAAAAAGGAAGCACATCTGGTCAGTGTTCTCCAGAAAAGAATGAACCACCCAAAAGTCCAACATCATCTCGAGTTCTGGCTGTGGAATCAAATGAAGAAACTGGTTTAAAGGCGAAGTTTGACATGTCAAATAAAGCAAAAAATTCATCTGATGTAATTCATTTTGATGAGTTTTCTGTGAATCTATCTTGTTTGGTGATCACTCTTCCTTTAGTTTTTCAAGTTAGAGAACAGTAAGAATCCGCAGTCTGTCAGCAAACAGATCAAACTGAGGAAGGAGTTATTGAGATCCCAGCTAAAGAAGATAGAGATCTGGATTCAACAGATAAAATCATTTTTGAAAAACCAGAAGAGAGGATGGCCAGACATATCAGGCCATTATACATTCGTGCAGATCTGGATCGTATGCCAATAAATTGAGTTTTGGTTGATAATGGAGCAGCTGTCAACGTTTTGCCAACCTATATGTTGCACAAAATTGGCAAATCCTTGGGTGATTTAATGGAGACAAAAGTGACAATCAGTGACTTTACTAGTGGGGTAAATCGCTTAAGAGGAATTATGTCGGTAGAACTCATTGTTGGAAATAGAACTCTCATATATGCATTCTTTGTGGTTGACACCATTGGCACTTATAATGCATTACTTAGGAGAGATTGGATACATTCTAGCTAGTGTGTTCCTTCAACCTTACACCATAAATTGATATTTTGGAACAATGGCAGAACTGAGGTTGTGACAGCAAATGACAAGCCTTTTGTAGCAAATACTAATATTGTGGAAGCTCGTTTTTATGATGAAGATATTGAGACTATCCATTTCTTTGGGAGGGATCATTATGGCAGACCTTTTGGAATTATTGCCTGCACCAAATCTGCATTGGATAGATACACTGTGAAGGAGGTCTGTGATGAACTTCTTTGGCCTACAGCAATTATTCCTTTTAGGCCGAGGAAGGAGCCTAAAATTGAAGAGATTCCATGAAGAAGGATCGCATTAAGCACTAGAAAAAGGAGGCTATGGAAGAAATCAAAAGAAAATTAGTAGCCTACCTTGCAAAAAAAATGGATCTATGTAGACAGATCTAAGGTAGTCTATGAAGGAGAAGAGGAGGACTTAAAGGATCAGATAACTCTAGAGGAATTAGATCTAGCACCAGCAAAACTCGAGGATTTGAAGGTAGAAGTACAAGATCCCCTGGAAGAGGTAAATCTGGGTTTGGACAGAAATCCGGTGGAGCATAGATTACCAATTAGAGAAGACTTTAAACCTTTCAAGCAGCCGCCCAGACAAATGTCTCTAGAAGTCACTTTGAAAGTTAAAGAAGAGATAAAGCGGCTATTAAAGGTTGGTTTTATCAGAACTTCCAAATATGTGGAGTGATTATCTAATGTGGTCTCCATGGTTAAAAAGAATGGCAAACTGAGAATCTGTGTGGATTTCATAAATCTGAGTCTGGTAACATCAAAAGATGAATATCCTATGCCTATTGCAGATTTGCTGGTGGATGGTGCAGCATGCCATCGAATTCTGTCATTCATGGATGGCCACAGTGGGTATAACCAGATTTTCATAGTAGAAGGAGATTTGGTTTGGAAAGCAATTCTGCCACCTGGAAAGAAAGATCCCAGATTCAGAAAATGGTCTCCCAATTGGGTAGGACCATTTCGTATCCATAAAGTGCTTAGACGGGGAGCATATTGGCTTAAATCACTGAATGGAGAGCTACACCCTTAAAAAATAAATGGAATCTATCTTAAGCCTTACTATTCTATGATATGGGAGGTTAGAGGTCTGGATACCACAAATTCTGCTTGAGACAGATTTGGGACAGGAAGTGTACAATTTTTTCTTTTCTTTTTTAGCATTTTATAATTCAATAAATGTGCTAATCTGAATATGTAAGCTGGCTAAATCTGGCCGTGAGCAATCAAAGCAGCAAGATTTTGGTCATGGTAGATTTCAACCTTCTGCAGAATGGAACAAGGCATACAACAAGCGAGTGGCCACAAGCATGGACAAAAAGGCTATGAAAGAAAGAAGTTGTGCTTTGATGCTAGAAAATGCTTGTAGGTCTGCTTTTAAATCTACATAAAGTTTGCTGAGTTGTTCTACCAAGCACTTTTCTGTTTGCTCTGTAAAGGGAATCTGTTACTTCAGTTTTGCAAACTTAGCCTCAAGGTTTGAGATCTCCTCTTTTAGATTTGGAAGTTATTTACCATGTGCATTTTAGTGGCTAAAATATGACATGTGGCAAAGGGAGTTAAAGTTGTGCATGCAATTGATTTAATTTAAAAACACTTGGATTTATGTCCATAAAACCAAGTGTTGGGGGCATTGTTTACACCATAAATTGCAAAAATTTAGGATCATGCCACGTGTCAAAAAATTTTTAAATGAATGGAGGAGATTAAGCCATGTTAGATTCGTGATTCTAGGCCTCATGACAAATCAACTATCATTTTGGCAAAAAATGGGAGATAAAGATGAGATTTTACTGTGTAATTATCTCTTTGAGGCAAAAAGGGATTGTTTGAGCTAAAATATAGGAGAGGATTGCAGTTAAAGAGGGGTTTGATATGATAAGGGCACAGGTGGTGAAAATCTGGAAGGAGATCAGACCAAATCAATAGGTGAGCTATCCCATGAGCTGTCCCACTACCTCAAGAAACCACCTACAACTTTGCAATTGTAGAAAGTGGGGGGTTATTGCCGGCCAAAGGAGAACAAAAAGGAAATTTTGGAAGGAAGAACACATGGTCAGCCCTACTTAAACATCTGCAAATGTTCAGACTTTTATTTTCTTTGCAAATTACTTCTAGATTTCGAATTTTAGCACAAACCCCGGTAGATTTAGGTTGTTTTTCATCATTCCAGTAGGCAAATTAATTCATGTATTCAGTTCAACAATTTCCTTTCATGCAATGAACTTCAATCTTTCAAGTTTATGCAAGGTATTGTTCTCTTTCTATTTGCAATTAATTTAATATTTATGATAAGTAGCATTTTATTCAATGATTACTTATGTGGTATTCACACTTCTTTTCAACTTCAAGCATGTTAGTTTAATCATTGTTCACGTTAATTTTAATATTAATTAGGATAAAATCTTTAATTCTACAGCATTTTAATTTCCAAATCTATCAGTAGATAGTATTTTAATTTAACAATGAACATGTTCAATTTAATTTGGGCATATTTTATTCTCGTAAATTTATTTTAAATTGCAAATTATTTAGTTCAATTAGGATTTGTTAATTTTAAGTCACAGTAGTATTTAAGTCCTTGGATTTGTCCAAGACAGATTTCATAACCCATTCTGCAAGAAGGTATCCCTCTCTCTTGCAAATCGTCTGTAGGCGCAGATTTCAATTTTAATCCAACGTTCTTCCTGCCATTTGCAAAGAGATCGACCATGAGGAAGGAGAAAGTCGTTAGGAAAGTCCTCCTTTCTTACTTTCAGCAAAATAAGTGGCACGCTCGCATCTAGATTTCATACGTGCGAGGTCACTAGAGGATTTTTGGGGAAACAATAACTATGATTTCAAATTTTATTCCTTTTATTATGAATTGATTTAGTCAACTAGAACTACAATATAACCTAATTAATTCAATATAGATTTTATGATTTTTATATTTTTGAGATTCTTATTTTATAATAAATATATCATTCTTATTGCCTTTTAATACTTGATCACCATATTGATATGAAGGACATAATTGAGATTGAGAGAAGATTTTACATAATAACTTTTAATAATATATACCATAAATTTAATAAAAGTTAGAGATGGATCAACATGATTTATTCAGCATTAGTAATAAGTAAATTTAATTTTCTACATAAACTAA